ATTCCAATCGCAGCCGGTCGCTCAGCTTGGCGTCAGGTACGTGGCAGTGCTTGACACCGGTGCTTCAAGAGCACAGAACCACATGGGCAAGTTCCGCTACGAATAGCAGCAAAGTTGCGTCCTACTCATCTATCAAGAGATGTTGTATGTTCAACGGTGGGCTCTCGAGGAGCTCACGGAAGAAAAGTTTAAAAAGGTTGCGAGCGATGCAGATGATACAAGGGGCCACTGGCTGAGGTGGACTCCCTGCATCCACAATCCATAATCCTGAAGGTGTCTGTACATGCCATTCCGTAGGTTTGTACATTTGAGCAGTGGCATATACAAGTGGCTCAAGGCACACTCTAGTGGCTCATTGGCACACTGTGGGGCATTGCTTGTACATTTGTCTCTGCCTCCAAATCTTCTCGGATTGTGGCCCTGTCGTCATTGGGGGCGGGGATCACAAACTGTAGCCGTTGCAGAGTCTCGCGATGTTCTGGTTGTAGCGAGTGGACTTCTCTGACAGTATAGACTGCAACTGTGATCCTGTGTCCTTCCCAAGGGAAGGTCTCATGTCGATGGTAGGGGTTGAAGGCGATGCCGGACATGGTGAGGTTGTGTACTTCACCATATAGTGTGCCATCCTGCGATGCACATTGGCCACCCGATTGCTCGATCCATAGCCCGCCTCCTCGGAAGGTTGAGCATGGGAGCAGGACATTGACACTGTCTTTAGCATTGTTGAGGTCTTTATGTCCCATCGATGTGTTTCGCTGGAGGACGAAGCTGGTGAATGGCTCATGTGTGCAGGATCGGATGAACTTGCACACTAGCAGGGTAACCCAGGGGAACAAGGTGGTATTTTGCCGCAATCCAGAAAGTGGGCCCTGGCTATAGGCTCCACTGCAGAAGCCCATGCTGCTGGCTCTGCCAATGTTGGCTTCTCTTCTGGGCTCATCCGAAGGCAGGCAATCACAAAGTAATTCCCAAACTTCCATGCGAACTTGTCCACTTTCTATCATCTCCGCCGCTATTTGTTCCGCCACATGTAGTGGCGTGGGCATGTCGGCTGGGATACTGTCGTCGATTTCCAGCGAATAAGGTATTCGCACGACGTGGTTGGGTGCAGTGTGCACTCTTTGCGAGTGCATGGCCATGACTGCATGGTTCACAAGAGTGGCCCGGCTACGGCTGGACACAACTTTATGGCGATAAGGGCAGGCTACCGGTCATGCATGTTTGCACACAGTGAGGCAGCACAGCAGAATTCTTTGGTTTCGCCAATCTCTGTCAACCAACTTGCAAAACTAATTGCACGCAACAAGGAGTGGCCTCCACACTGTGGGTGGGCTGAGCTCACTGTGCGTACCTGAGCAGCGCAATGGATGTCGGGGGTAGCCTCAGACTGCTATGGCACTACGCAATTTTTTCTGGGTTTTTTGTCTTTTTTTGGAGCGCGTGCCGATTGCGTGTCCCCCACATGCGGCTACCCCCACGCTCAGCGCTAGTACCTGCACAGGAGGAGAATGTAGCATTGTTGACTGAGCAATGCATCATTCTCCAGGGGTATGTGGATATGTTCAATGGGTTTACCATCATCAGCTTTCCACTGCGGTGGTGCATGCGGGGCTAGTCCAGTGGGTAGATGATTAACAAATCTCGTTGTGTAATGTCCAGCTGAGGTCGCGGCACCACAATGAAGAACACATGCAACTATCGCATATGAGATGCGATCACATTCATTGGGGTTGGTGGGGTCCTTAAATTGGGGGATCTGAAGGCTGTGTGTAAGGCGAATTTTTGTTTGGAGCTTTTGCGAGGCGCCTGTTGGGCCTTCTCTAAATCTTGAGATACGAAGCATAGCAATGCGGGGTAAGGCTGTGCAGGCCTGGAGGTAGGTACCTCCCTGGTGCCAATCATCCATCAGGCTTTGAATGTCTATGGGCTCGGGTGCTTCAGGGATGTTCAGTGTGATAGCTTTGTTCATGAAGTGCTGTTCCCTGATTTCTGGGCCATCAGCAAGATTGACAATGCGAGATTCCCACCTGCCTTGTAGGACTCGCGGCTTGCCGACTCCGAGAATGTGCTCCAGAAACTCACAGGCATCATGTTGCATATGCAGATTAACCCAGTCTCTAAGAGCCGTGCGCCAGGATTTGATGGCATGAACATGCATCGGCCTTCGCGCATGGTAGATGTCCCGCCACGCCTGTGCCTGAGTCCCATATTTGTGTACATCTGCTATCTGAAGATGGCTGACGGTGTACAGCCAGGCCCGTACACTGGCATTGATGTAGCATGTATTGCTGCTGTTGAGGAGCCTTATCAGGAGAATTCGGCTAATGCTTGATGGACAAGGGCGGCAGCCGGTGATTGCTTGAGAGTGTCGCGGCGGAGCTGTAATCCGATGATCTGCAGGGCTGAGAGGCCTTGTAGTGCCTCCATGCACTCTCAAACCGTCTGGTGTCCCTTGGTGCGGTTCGAGATGTCCAGCTGGAATGTTGTGATGCCGGTCATAGTGCCTGCTAGGGGCCTCGTGGCATGAAATCGATGAATCATGTAGGGCTGCATCACGAGTGGAAGTACTAGTTGAAGGGCCTCCACGAGCTTGGCATGTGGCAGAGGGGGACGAGTCTCGTCCACCACTAGGCTCCCCAGGGCCGGCGACCACTTCTGATAGCACCAGTGGCCTTCCAGGAGCCACTTCATCTCCTTCGCTTTTGTCTCGAACTGCGTTGAGGTCTGTGTTGAGGTCTCCTCGCCTATGTCCTTCAGGCCCTTGTGCAGCATCTGGAGTAGGCAGTCGAAGCGCCGCTGAAAAGAGCAGGGGCAGGGGACCTTGGTTGCCCGGCTGAATGAACAGGACCCAGCTGTAGTCCTGGCATAGGATCTTTAGTGCTGTTTTCTGTTGAAGGGCCAGCCGGGCCAGCGCCTT